CAGCTGCTACAGAGCTGGGAGGAGGGCCTGGTGCTGGGAATTCTCTTTTATCTACCTGGAATCTCATTGCTGTCTGTCCACCCAGCTCCCCCATCACTGCATCCTCCTCCCCATACCCTCCAATCATCCGCCCACCCAGGCCAGCACACCTGTCAGGATAGACTGGTCAACCCGGAGGGTGGTAGATTTGATGGCGAGGATGCGGATGTCTGCAGGGACTTTGTCTCCCACTGCGGAGAGAGTAGGAAAAGGGAGGTCAGTTGGGAATGGAGTTCTCTTCCTTCTTAAGAAAAACTCAATCTACGTCTAACTCCCTCTCCTCATCCATTGTTCAGGTCTCAGGGAGGCCCCCAGGGCTGGGCACCCACCCTGGGTTTGCATCAGACCCTCAGAATGAGTGCCTGCAGCAAGCACTTCCATTGTAACACCCATTCTTACTCTCCCTCCTGTTGAAGGCTTCTCTTCCCACTGGCTGTGGGCCCCGTGCAGGGAGGGTGCAGACCCTCCCATACTGCCCAGTGCAGACCCTCCCCCCCGTGCAGACCCTCCCATACTGCCCAGTACATTGTATGTGCTTGATAAATGTGCCCTGAATGACTGAAGGAAAATTAGGGACAGTCCAGCTACAGGAAGAGCAACTAAAACAGAATGGGAGACCGCGAAACACAGAGAGATAAGACAGAGAGGTGAGGAAGGAAGGGCAAGAAAATAACGCAGAGAAAACGGTGTAAGTTGGAGAGCAGTAGTGTCAGGGCGAGAGAATGAAGTCCACAGCGGGGGAAGACAGGAAGAAACAGGAGAAAAGACGGGAGCTGAGAAAACCAAGGTCAACCAAGAGAAAAAGCAGAGGACAGAGCAGGAGGGAAGCCGGGGAGAGGGAGGTGTGAGCAGGAAGGACGTAGGAGGAAAGGGAGGGGCACAGGCCAGTCACACTCAGAAACCTGACAGCCGGCCTGAGCATCTGAGGGGAGGCGGAAGCCAAGGGTGAGTGAGCTAGGGAGACAGGGGGGATGGGGGCAGAGGGGAGGTCTGCAGGAAACAAGGTGTGAGGGGCAGGACAAGCAACACACATCAGAGGGCTGAGATGGACAGGGATGAGGCGAGGGAGACACACAGGTGGGCAGGGTCAGCACATGGAAGCCACCCTGGGGGAGGGGGCTGGGAAGGCAGATACCCCACCAGACTCAGAGGCCTTTGGAGGAGGCTAAACACTTCTTGGGGCCTCTACCTAATTCTGCCCTGGTTCCACAGCTTTCCTTTCCCTCCATTTCCAAGGTCCTTCCTCTTGGACCAGAGGAAGTGGAGGGAGGAGGTTAGTGATGGAGTTGGGCGGGACACCCTGTCACTCAAGCCCAAGTGATATTTATAGACACTTATGGCGCTGACTCCACACTGTCACCACAGCAAGACAGCCCTGAGATGGGCACCAGGGTCTTCAGGCCACCCTCAATCCCTCTCCCCAAGCTCCCCGGGGTGGTGACTTGGGTGTCTGGTAGAGGGAAAGAGACCTAGGAAGATCCATTCCCCCTGCCAGGATCCTGGAGCTGTGGGAAGACCAGCGCAGGGCAAATATAAAAACCGCTGAAGGGGGCAGAATCCCAGTAATCTTAGCCACCCGGCCCCCACCCCTCCCTGGTCAGGCATTAAGTGTCCCTTGCCGGAGGGGCGGGGCCCCTCCTTGAGCTCCCCTCCTCCCAGGTCCCGTGCTCTCTGCTGGGGCCTGAGTTTCCCTTACATGGCCGGGGGCTTGAGCCTTCGGCTTCCCTCCTCCCTGCTACTCTAGCTCCTTCCCCTCTGAGAGGCCTCAAGGGCACCAAGAGGTCAAGACTGAAAGCTGACCAAGCTTGGGGGTGGGTGAAAGGAGAGGGAAGCCAGGCCTCGGGAGGGGGTGGAGACGGGGCCATTGGCAGGGACTGGGTTCCACCTGTTGCTTGCAAGTGCTGGGTGAGAGGAGGGGGAGCAGGGGTCTGCCTGCAGCTTCAGGGACAGGACTGGCTGTTCCTGCTGAGACTCTGACAGGGAGGGAGGGCTAAGGCTGGAGTGCCCTGGGGTGACCTTCTGAGAAGTCTGGGAAGGAGAAGCAGACACCACCAACTCCTGGATACCAGGATCAGGGGCTGACTTGCCCTTCCCCCTCCTTCTTCTTGGTCTCAAACTCAAAGCCTCTCACCCTGGACCACCCGTTCCCATCACTCACCAGCCACCTCCACAATGTCCCCAGGGACAATATCCCGAGCCTTGATCCTTTGCACTGACTTGCGGTCAGCTCGGTAGACCTTCCCCATCTCAGGTTCATATTCCTTCAGAGCCTCTATGGCATTCTCTGCATTACGCTCCTGAGGGGGTGGGCGGAGGAGAGGAGGGCCATTACAGAGAGGAAGTTCATGGGAAGGGGAGGGAGGGAGATGGAGGAGCAGGAGCCAGGTTCCTGGGGGAAATAGGGTCATCACACAGGAGGCAGGGCTATGCAGTTCTGGCTCCTGGCATGGGGAGGTGACAAAACCCCACCAGGGCAGGTGTGTGTGTTGAGGAAACTGCCACCTACAGCTGTAAATAGGTAAGAGGAATTTGAGGAGGGAAGAAAGGAGAATCAAAGAAAATCATAAAGCAGGACAGAAAAAGTAGAGGGTGATAATGTACTAGGAAGAAGGAAATCAAACTAGCATCTACTGAATTCCTACTGTACACCAGACACAGCCATCATCTTGTTCAATTTCACCACAAGTCTGAGAGATAGGATTATTAGCCCTATTTTATGGATGAGGAAACAGGCTCAGAAGGATGAAGGAACTTGCTCAGAGTCATATAGCCAGCAAATAACAGTGGGTCACAGTCTCCCACCTCTTCCCAACACTCCATCCCATTTCCAAACTGGGCAATAGGACCAGAGGGAAAGGTAAGCCTAGGGGAAGTGATGGAGGAGGAGAAGACAGGAAAGAGGGCCGGGCTCGGGTTCATTGTCAGGACATGAAGGGGGGATGAGGGTCAAAGCTAACCTGCCAAACCCCCACAATGGCATTGGCAATGAGGATCAGGAGGATGACAAAGGGTTCAACAAATGCAGTGACGGTCTCTTCGCCTTCCTCAAACCAGGCCAGCACCTGGGGAGCAGGAGAAAGGAGAGTAACAGTTAATAAAGCTCCAAAACGGGCAGAGAAAGGAAGTGGAAGGAGTCCCAAGACCACTGCAGAGGTGAGAGCATGTGCAGGCGCTAACAGGGTAGGGCATCATGGGGGTGCTGCAGCCCCATCTGTCTCCTGGGCTCAGCCTCATGCATGCACTGCCACCACAGTTATTCGGCGGGAATAGGCCGGCACAGACATGTACAACTAGGGGATTAACTGGGATCGCTGTCAGGTTTCCCTGACCAAGTTGCTGGCTTGTAAGCGAAGCTCAGAGGACACATAGGCCAACTACCCCTCACAGCCACATCCATCCCACGGGAGCCAAAACCCATAGGAAAAACCCTGTGGTCCTCCGCAGGCGCCTGGCCCACCCGCAGCCCTCCCCCACAACCAAGGCAAGGAAGCTCCGATTTCACAAGGGAGCAGGAGGGTAGATAGTGTTACGGGCCCTCCTGCACACGCCCCGCCCCAGCTGTTGCCACTGCCAGGCAACAGGCACAGGCAAATGTCAAGGAGCAAATCTGAGAAGGGAGAAATGAGGCCCTGCCAGCTTATACCCAGGGGCAGATAGGGCCTCCGTTAAGGAGACCAAGGCTCAGGGAGGCTCTTTTGCCTCCGGAGCCTTCTCTTCCAGCAGGACCAAGGTGTCAAGGAAGAAGCTCCGAAATACAGGCGGGACTGCAGGGCTGGGGGGTACCGAGGCGTCACGCTGCAGGGGCTGTGGACGCTGGAGGGGAGCTCCCCACGGGCGTGAGAGGTGGCAGAGCCCCGAGGACAGGAAGGGCAGCCCTGAGGCTGTGAGGGGCCTGGAGAGGGCGGGGGAGGAAGTCAGGGCGGGCGGGTGAGGGGGGCAATGTGAGGGCGCAGGCCTGGGCGCCTTTGGAGTCACCCTCGCGCCGCGGCTCTTTCCCGCGTCTAGGAGCGAGGCTTCCCTCGACCAATCAGCGTCAGGAGTCCGGGGAGGGCGGGGCAGGGACGCCAGGAGGCTCGCGGATTGGCGGAGCACGGCCCGGGGCATGTCGGGAGTAGCCGTGGCCCGGGAGTCGCGGCCGCCGCGGAGCCCTATCGGGAGCCCCGCGCCTGGGGGGTAACCCGAGCCCTCCGAGCCCTTGAAGCTGCTGCGAGGGTGGCTTAGCTTCAGTGTTTTGGCTGAGAACACCCTTAAAGCTTAAAATAAAACCTGCCTGTAGGGTGTGGGAGAGGACAGAGGAGGACGCGAATCACCGGCATCCCCCCACCCCCCGCCGTCTGAAAAATAGGATGCTCAGGGTTTGTTCTAGAGGATCTGGTGACTGGAAGCCCCGCTCTCGGCCTTCGCGAGCAGACTCTCCTGATCCCCCTACTCACTCTTCCAGCCGGCCCCCAGATGCCCTCCCACACTTACAAAGGAAATACAGGCGGCCAGAAGAAGGATTCGCACCAGGAGGTCTTCAAACTGCTCTACCACCAGCTCCCACAGGGACTTTCCTGGGGGAAGAGGCAAGGGGAGGGGCCCCAGGGTTAAGGTCTAGGACTGGGACTTCTAGTTGGGCTGGGGTCCAGGGATTGGAGTGGCCTGAGATCCCGTCAGGAGCGGGGAGGCTCGAGGGTGATGGGAAGGCAGCTGGGTACTCAGAGAAGGGCTGCCAGGAGTCCAAAAACGGGCTCCTTAAAGTGGTGAGCGGTCGTTTAAGGGTTGGATGCTTCAAGGAGAAAGTGCCTTAAAGACTTCTGTCTCTGACAGATCTCTAAGCTTTGGGGAGGGATATTTGCCTTTGGAGGATGGGTATTGGCCCAAGGAGTCTAAGGAGAAGGCAGGGAGAAGGGAGTGGGACTTGAGGGGAGGGAGGGTCATTTATGAGAGCTCAGGGATTCAGTAACTTACCTTCCTCAGCAGGGAGCTCTACCCAAGGAAAAGGAAAAAGAAGAAAAGGACTTATTCATTTGCGGTTCAGCCTCATCCCCCACCACACCCAAGACTTTGAGGCTAAGGTAAGAGAATCAGGCCACCAAAAGGACATCTGAGGTTCATCAAGGTCATCCCATAAAACCTCCCAAAACTCTGGGTCTTAGGAACCCTGTTTCTCAGTATCCTCTTCTAGAGCTCTTCCCTAAGATACCCAGGAAGGAGAATTGTGTGTGTGTGTGTGTGTGTGTGTGTGTGTGTTTGGGGTGCAGGAAGGCATTACCAGTCTCTCTTCCAAGGGACACTTACCATTGGGGCCATATTTCTCCAGATGCCGCTTCACTTGGTCTGGGGTGAGGCCAGTGGTTTCGCTCACCCCAAAATGGGCCAAACATTCCTCTGTGGTCTTGGCATGTGCAGCCTCCATTCTGCGCCCTTCCTGGGGGCCAGGGGGCGGTGTGTTCCTTCTGCGGGGTTCTCACTTGTGTAGGGGTCTTCCTCAGTATGTCCACCTGCCTGTCTGCCTGGGTTTCTTCCTTTTTCTCTCCTGCCCCGCCCCAGGTTTTTCTTCCCTCCACAAAGCTCTGACCCCCCGTCCCACTTGCAGCAGCCGGCCACCCCCCCCAGCCCCCAGCTGGTCCTTATGAGGGAGCAGGGGGTGGCCAGGCTCCCCCCTCCTCCAGATCAGGGATTGGCTGGCTGACACTCCAGCAGGAGGGGTCAGAAGAGAGAGATATTTCTGCTGACAGAGGGGGAACAGTGGGGCTGCAGCCTGAGATGTCACTCATGAGGGAAGCAAAGGTGGCCCCGGCCCCAGGAAAGGGGGGTCAGGGAGAGACTTCACTTTTTGTCATCTGCCACTTATCCCGTCCCCGGTGCCTTGACTTCCCCAGTTGCACTGAATTTCATCCCCCTGATTCTTCCCTTAAGCCTGCTTCCACTCCAGGACCTCACCTTTCACTTGCCTCACCCCCCTTCCTGTCTCATCTGCCCTGAACCTGTTTCTATGGCCACGGTCTCCCTCTTTCTCACCTACTTTGTTCCAGGAGGAGCAAAGATACTCCAAGCCTTTGGGGGACTGGAGAAGGAAGAACATCTTTTGGGGACCAGAGGAAGTGGCTCTAAAGGGACAAGGGGAAATAAGGAGGGGAGAGGGTCAAGGGAACAGGGCAGAAGATGGTAACCCTACCCTAGGGAGGGGTTGCTGCAGCCATCAACAAGGGATTTAGTGTCCAGGCCCTGGTGAGCAAAGCCAGCACTGCCTGTCTCTCCCCTAAACTGCCCCCGCGTCCGTCACTCTAACTCGGCCTCTGGGAACATAGCCCTCAGGGCCCCCCCCCATCCCCGACAGGGAATCCCCCCCCCAAGAAAATGGGACACCCAGGCAGCCGGGTAACCCAAGAGGCTACAAAATGTGCTGATGGCAGAGGGGGAGGGATAACTGTTTCAAGATGGGGCAGGGTCACCCCAAGTCATGGAATGAGGGTCACATCATGCCACACTGTACTTTCTTTAACTCAAGGGGTTTACATGGCAGACCCCAAAGGTGTTTGGGCCTCACTTCACTCCAGCCCTGCTGCATCTGTCCTCAAGAGGGAATAGGATCAGGCCTGTGCTCAGAAGCTGGGCATGCTCCAAGAGAGACGTCAAGGAATGGGCCCTGGGGAAGCTGAATAAAGCAGAGGCTCCCGACTTCAGGAATGGGGAGAGGCAGATTTCTGGGGTCAAGTCTGGGGAAGATGAGGACAGAATAGAGCTGTGGAGGAGAGAGAGGAAAGACAGGGCCACCAGGGCCTGAGGGAAGTCTGAGGAGCGGTGGGGAAAAGAGACAGCAGGGAGCTGACTAGCGGCAGCCAGGTGGGCGGGGACCCCAGCGCTGGGTGCAAAGCCACAAGTTGTTGCTGAGCGGCTGGACCTGGTGTCAGCTTCCTCAGAGAAGCAGCTGCTTTGAACCACTCCTCCCTATCCCTGCTCCAGGATGGGGGCGTCTCTTAGTTACCACCAGGGCAGCTGCTGCAGGAGCAGAGGGAGGGTACCATGGGGGTATGGGCAGGGGAGGGAAGACAGGCAGAGGCTCAATGACAGTAATGGTGAAAGGTCAGTGAGAGGAAGGAGCCTGGTGACCCTGGGCTCAAGTCCTTCCTCTGTCTAGGCCTCAGTTTCCTGAAATGAATGTGGAGTATGGACTACCAAAAGGGTTCTTCAGACTGCTTCCTCCTCTGGGGCTCAAGCTACAATGCAGACAACAGTAAAGGAGAGGCGGGCAAAGAAGGGGGGGCCCCCACTTTTGAGAAGGGGGTTGGAACTTGAGCATTTAGCCTCTCAGTTGCATCCCTTCTGCCTGGACTTGGGGGAGGCACACCCTCCTGGGTGAGTTGAGGACAAGGTGCTGCTTCCCACCCCCTTTTTGGTTCCAACAAACCCCTCCCCTGAAGCGGAGTCCTGCTGTGACCCGGGTGGTGGTGGGAGCTCAGACAGTGGGGTGTGAGTGCTGGGGGTCCCATCGACAGGCGCCTCCACCTGGCCCAGCACCCACTTCAGGCTGGAGTCAGACTCAGCACCTGCCAAGCCTTTTGGCACTGGCCGGCGTCTCCCCACTGGCACCTGGAGAAGTGACAGGGGCTACTGTCTTACAGCAGCAGGAATGCCCAAACATGGAGAGGGGCAGACAGAGAGAGGGGCAGCTTCAAGCGAGTTGAGCGCATGAGGCGAAGGGCAGGAGGCAGGCTGTACGGGACACTCCTGCCAACGGAGCTTTAAGGTTATTCATTCTACCAGCCCCAGCTTCCCAGAGGGGGAAACTGAAGCCAGAGAGAGAATGCCACCAGCTAGGAGCTGCAAAAGGATTACCATTAGAGAGGCTGTGGGTGTGAACTGGGATGGAGGTTAAGTGATGAGGTGCCCTCTGGCTCCCTTCCCACTGGGGTCTCCAAGTCCAGGGCTGGAAGGCATTCCTCCTCTCATACCTGAGGGCTGGAGCTGAAAGAATGGAACAGACCCAGTTCTGAAGGACATGGAGACAGGGCCAGGCCAATCCCTGACCAGTTCCGAACTTCACTTCGGTTTAACCATCTGCAAAGAACAGCTTAGAGGGAATGTCTCTCAGGCTCCATCAGCCACTTCATATCAGTCTGGGGAGTGGGTGGGCATCCTCGTATTCCTCCCCTGCGGGATCTTTGGAAGGCAAGTCTCTGAAGGCTGGCAGGGTTTGGGGGAGGGGGAGCCTCAGAGCACCAGTTGCTGCTAGATTAGGAGAGATCAGGCCCTGCTTACCCTGGGGTGTCACAGCCTGAGCTTGCCATCTCACACTGAGAACACAGCACCCAGATCTCCAAAGCATCGCCCCCTTCAAGGCCAATTCTATCCCCAGTCTCCTGAGGCCAAGGTTTGGGGAGCCCCAGGGCTTAGACAAAACAGGGCGAGGCAGCAGGCTTCCCCCAGCTAGCCCCCAGCCTGGGTGGCCCACGAGCCCAGCTGTCTCCTGTCCATCTCCCGACAGGACACAAGGCCCAGAATAGCAAGGTCATGAGCATGGGTAGGGCCTCCTGGAGGTGGGGGCTGAGGCTGAGGGGCACGAGAGTGTCCACTCCATGCTGCCTGGGAGGGAGAGTGAGGCAGGATGTATGAGGTGAAGCTGAATGGAGGTGGGGAGGGGACAATAGGTGGGATTCCTCAGACCCTGGCCCCTTCTTGCTGGCACTCATGCCCCCACGGCAGGGAAGCCCAGGAGTGCCCTCTGTTGGAGAGCACAGCTGCTGCTCAGGAAGACTGATTATGAGAGCAGTGTTTAATTGCAGGAGGGGGGGCGCTGGCAAGGGGAGGAGGTGCTGCAAACTCAAATGCCCACAGGGCCAGGCACTTCGGGTAGTGAGATGAGCTGGTAGAATGAAGTAGATGTGGAGGCGGACCCGTGCAGCTGATGTTCTGATTTTTAAGAGAAGCCAGTAATCTGAATTTTTATGTGAAACACAAATGGAAATATTATGCAGGTCAAATAAATCATGTTAACAGTTCTGACTTGGATGAAACTTTTTTTTTTTTGAGTTGGAGTCTCACTCTGTCGCCCAGACTGGAGTGCAGTGGCCACTCCCGGCCACCGCAGCCTGA